GAGTTCCTACAACGAACTGTACAAATGACCTGGGGACAGACAAGCCACAGTGGGAGCCCATCAGATAATAACCAAGCTCTTGACCTTGCAATATGTGGAGTTGACAAAGGGAAGCTCATCACTGGCGCTCAATTCACACGTGTGATTGAGATATGTGGCCAACACTGAATTTGGCAAAATTCCTGAATGAAGATAAAGAGGTATGCACATAAAAGTGCAGAGCGGTTTAGATTCTGGTATTCTGAACCTCTTTCGTCAATTCCAATAATGCTGCTGAGTATGAAGCAATCTAATCCCCATAGGTTTCATAGTGTGTCTGACAAAGTTTTAGATTGAGTAATTTGACTGTGGAAATGTTTGTTGAGGCAACTGTTTACAGTATCAATCTTGAAATGTCCTATAACACAATTTACAGTAGCTAGAACAGATAGGCTACATTACAATTATCCTGGCTGCCAACGCGTACAAAACATATCACACTCTCCAGCTGGGTTGAAATTCTCAGAAAGGGACATTGATATGCAAGCTTCTCCTTACCAAAACAAACAATAGAAAGTTATTGAATACCATAGAAGGCCTATGTTTACAGAGAGCTCTGTAACATGCATGTATTCAAAACATAAATTAATGTATTTGTCTGGCCTTAGGCCCCTGTGTCTCGTACAAGAAAATAACCACACTCTTCATTAGTCAACAACTATCCAGGTGCATCGTGACTAGTACTACGGTACAATATGAAGCTGGCAGGAATAACATGTATTTATTAGGGATCCCCATTAGCTGCTGCCAAGGCAGCAGCTATTCTTCCTGGGGTCCAAACACATTAAGGCACTTGCATCACACATAAAACAAAATATAAAACAGTACATCATATAACATTATTACACCACTACATATCTACAATACAAAATGCATAATACCACCATACAACAATATTACAATGTAAGTGTGTGTAGAGTGCGCGTGCTAGCATGTGTGTGCATATGCATGTGTCTGTACCTGTGTGTCTCTTCACAGTCCCCGCTGTCAAAATAGCAGATACCATGCAATAACAATGGTGCTATTTCTGAGAGTGGAGGAACTGTCAGCAATGGAGAGAAGATTTCAGAACAGAAATCAGCACCAGCTAAAACGTAGGCAGTGTACAATTTACAACAGTATCTGCAATTTGATCAATCTCATCAGCTCAATGTAGCCTAGTTTGCAAGGATTGCACTTCAGTCCTTGTGAGCACACCTGAACATGGATCACAGCTGGGTGCCAAGGAACAGAGGGTGAAAATGCATGTCATTGCAACTGTCATTAGCTACCCATAGCTTCCGCGTTTCATTCAACACCAACACATTTTTATCCCTGTACAGATCGATGTCTGAGTAAGTCAGGTACTGATCACGTTTGCTAGTGTAAAGGGAAAGTATCAACACTACACTACCAGCCTTTCACTGGACACTATTTCGAGCAGAATTTGTATCCTCTAGTAGTCTTACCTTTGAGCTGCGGCAAGGGGGAAAGCTCGGTAAGGGTTTGAGTTCGGAACTGGGACGACCCTTGAGATTTCTTCTGTTTCTGGGCTTTCCTCATTGATTTTCGCGTGAACCCGTCCACTTTCTCAGTCGCAGAGATAGCCGACATTGTGATGCATAAACGATAAAATATGTTTGACAAGTGCAGCAACGACAGATTCAGGGTTTACCACAAGTAGGCTATGTCTCCCAGCCCAGGCGCATCAAAATATCCAACTTGAAACAATGGAGTAAACCGCAAGCTTTGAAGAACACCTCTTCTCCTTGTTGGATCCACTACTGTAGCTTGTTAATCAGTTTCCATGTAAAGGCCGCATAATTCGGTCCGCTTGTTGAGAGTCCAGCGAGCTGTTTACAAAACTAACGTTACGCGTATTAACAAGCCAAAGTTGTTAGGCTAACGTTAACTAGCTAATTGTCTGACAACAGAAACACTGCCTAACTAAATTGCTGCGTATATTTGTTAACTTGTAATTTCTGCAATATACCTGTTGCTATAGGTGTCATTTTTATAGCTAACTAACGTTAGCTAACTATTTCAGAGAAAACAATTACGCTAGGTAACGTTAAATGACAAAAAATGCTAACGCTAGCTAGCTTCTTGGCTAACGTGTTAAAACGCAGTTAGCTAACTAGATAATATGAACATTTACAATTTAAAGCGAACTCTCATTATGAAATTCATACTATTTTCAACAAGAAAAATAAATACTGTATTCCGTGTCTTCTAGCCGGAGTTGGCTTTGTCTAAATGAAAAACAGTCTGGACGAATGAAGTCTGGCAACCTCGAACTACTCAGTAACGTTTGTATCGGTAGAACCACGGCGCCAATGGAGTCATGTTCAGCACTTTCCCGTGTCCATTTAGTCCGAATTATTTGATTATCGAGTTGCACTGACACATCGATAAGGAATTTTCAGCTATGCTCGGACCGCAACAATAACTTTTTCAATAGATAGCTAGATAAAACAAATCCATGTAGAAGCCACAACACTGTGCAATCATAAACAGTTTTGCATCGTTGTCGGGTTGCATTTTGTGACACGAGTGTACGTAATTGACAGACAACTCCAATATCCAACAAAAATGTAGAAACTTGCACGCTCATGCATTTTTTTACCAATCGAATTCGATAAAAACCGGGCTCTAAACCATGTGACAATGGACGGATTCGATTATGCTGAGCCGTGGGGCACCGAGCAAAGGCCCGTCACGTCATCGGGCGAAAGCGGCGAGGGAGGAGCTCCATTCTCAAATCGAACAATTATCTGTGCCGCTCGGTCATTTTGTCAACAAAGCAGCATAGTGCATCGTCCAGAAACATACCACATATATTTTCCATAAAATACATGTTTGAATTGTCTAACTATTTTTCATTTGGAAGGCAGATACAGTGTTTTTTATCAACATAAATCACTTTTGCACGATAAAACACATAATCGTACTAATTACTATATATGCTGAATTACGTCACTTTTGTTTTGAGCCAACGTCGCATGGGCTATGAACGGGGCACCTGGTTCACACTCGGGAGGCTGCCCGGTTCCAAATCGAATGCTATCAATTTTCAGCCGATGGAAATCACGCCTAGACGGGCGTCCGGGCGAGATTAATCTAACCCCCTTAATCTGCACAGAAAACAAATGACATTCTCAAAGGCCAATGAAAAATTGGAAACTGGAAACGTTTAAAAATAGGCTAGATACTGTACTAAAATCCAAATAAAAAAAGTCACAATTGTCATTTCAGATCACACTGGCCTTCAAGTGAGTGCTTCTTTTGAGGCCAGGCACTTGCAATTGCAAGTACATCATGATACAATTGCAAGTACATCAGGCCCCGTGTAGCTCAGTTGGTAGAGCATGGCGCTTGCAACGCCAGGGTTGTGGGTTCGTTTCCCACGGGGGGCCAGTATGAACATTTTTTATGCACTAACTGTAAGTCGCTCTGGATAAGAGCGTCTGCTAAATGACTAATATGTAATACTATCTTTATCCATCAGGAGGATACACTGTAGCATCGAGTAAATCTGTGGTTAGTGCTATCCGGACTCCTTGGGACGTCCCTACACTAAACCCTAACCATTTTAAATGTCAACTTCAATGGGGTAGGGACGTCCCAAGGATCCCGGATAGACAATTGTGACTTTTTTTATTTGGATCTTAGTACAGTATCTAGCCTATTTTTTTACAAATCTGTCCATTACATTTACAGCAACACACTTAGCAGCATGAGCAGAAAGCGGATGTTGCCGGTTTTCAGGAATACAGGGCCTATTTGCAACCTAACTTCTGTTTCCTCTAAAAAAAATAGAAGTGGGGACTCCGCTCAGGCGTCTTTCTACACCTGCTACGTTAGGTTATTACAGCAAAGTGAGTGGTTAGAAGGATTGTTTGACCCCCATGTGACTCTCTGAATGTAAGCCCACAAGCACTAGTAGCATGCTAACCTTTGCACATGTGATCACATGAAGAGAGCAGAAGAAAATGTTCTCATGAGACACATTTTTTGCAGGTTGACAGGTCTACAAACTATCATTCATTCTAAGTCTCCTTTCAGCACAAAATATATACAATTATGTAATTGTTTATGTCAAAACACGATTAACACAGCACAAAACGCATATGTGTATTTATTATTACTTTTAATATTGAGGGCGGCGGGTAGCCTAGGGTTAAGAGCATTGGCCAGTAACTGAAAGGTTGCTGGTTTGCATTCCCGAGCCAACTATGTGCAAAATCTGCTGATGTGCCCTTGAGTAAGGCACTTAACCCTAATTGCACCTGTAAGTCACTCTGAATAAGAGTGTCTGCTAAATGACTGAAGATAAATATGTCATTACTTTTCTATTCTTTCTCTCTGCATTGTTGGGAAGGGCCTGTAAGTAAGTATTTCACTGTTAGTCTACACCTGTTGTTTACAAAGCATGTGACAAATAACATTTGATGTCAGGTTAAAACAACAGGTTGGAGACCAGTGTTGGAAACCTTTTACTGATGAACAGCATTGCATGGGGCTGTGACCTAAAGAGAAAATGTAGTACATAGTACCATAGAAATAGATTTTATTTCTATGATAACACAACAAAGTTTGCTCTTAAACAATTTTATTTTACAAGTATTGTTGTCTAGGGACATACTTTCTGCAATATCTAAATATTTTGTAGTGAAACCTGACGTTATACTTCACTAGTGCTAATTCCAGTCCCATGGTCACTTCATGACTTGTAGTGTGACGTGGTAGTGACACAGCTAATTATTCAGTATGGGGAGCCAAGACTGGAATTCAAACTTGTACATTCATGAGATGAACGGTGTAGGGTGAAGTTGCCCCTAGACGCTGATCTTGGGTCAGTTTGGAATTTCCCCCTCTAATGGTTAAGGGAGGAGAAGCTGATCCTAGATCTGTGCCACTCCAAAGTTGTATGCCAAAGTGCATGTATTTAATCAATGAAAAGTTCAGAAATACACAACAGCTTTGGCTAAAGTCAGTTTATACAAGCAATAATCAAAGTTAATATGTACATACACACAAAAAGCACATTTTCACAAAAGTTATACAATATCTCGTACGAATGAATGAACTGACGGCAGAAAAAGTTAATGTACAAAATAAAGACATGAGAAGAGGAATCTCTCGTAAGTATGTCTTCTATGTTGAGTGAACAACTTGTTTTAAGGGTACGCAATATTGTACCCATTTTTGGGATTTGAAGGTTAAGAATCAACCCACATATACATACACACATTATATATACACACATACATAAACATGTATCTTCAAAAAGATTTCTGTTGAACAGTGATCCCAATTAAAATACATAGGAAATACAAAAAAATATTACAAATATAAATACTGTAGGAGAACCCTCAAGGATTTTGCACTCGCTCTCTCTCAATCAGCACTGAGAATACATTTTCAATCCAAGTTGATCACTCCGGAGGCTTTTGCTGGAAGTAGGAGGAGATTTTCTGCATGGATCGTGGTGAACGCATTGCTTGGGAGGAAGAGCGCATTGCCTGAGATGGAGAGAGACGAGAAAGGTCAATGATTACAGGTACCCGATTATGCAGTTAGAGCCGTCAGTGTTTGTTCTACATTGGGAGCAAATCCTGTTTATACTGTAACATCACTAGACTTCACTAATTTCAGGTCAATTTGTAACTTAGGATCTTGTGCATACCGGTGAGGTTGGCATCCTGCCATCTTGCCCCTTGCAGGCACTGGGGCTTCTGGGAGTGCTGCTGGGGTTTCCCACACCTTTCCTCAGCCTCTGGCTCATCACAGACAACCAGTCTGCCCCACATGGAGAGCAGTTCTCCTTGTTTGCCTGTGTGGATGGGACAGGCATCTGGTCCTCCACCTGTAGGCCCGCTCCTCCCCAGGCCTCACTCCTCTCTGTGCCCGCCTGAGGTGGCTCCTGGCTGGGGCAGCACAGGCCTGCCAGTCCCCGGCTCCTCTTGGCTGCGGGGTAGAGCTCTGTGACGCAGTCGCACTGCCCCGCACCTTCGCAGCCCCCTGCTGCCCCACAGTCACCCGTCTCCAGTCGGCGCTTGGCCCCCCTCTCCAAGGGAGGGGTACCGGCTGGGCTCTGGGGGCTGAGTACCTTGTGGAGAGGAGAGGTGACCTGTTCCCCAGGAGACCGGGCAAACCAGTTCCTGATGGAGGAGGGTGTTTTCTGGCGTATGAGGGTGGCCTTGGCACCCTGGGCCTGAAGGGGGGAGGCGGCGGAGGTGCTGGAGGGTAGAGGCAGGTCGGCTCCACTGGGGGCGCAGGCGGCAGGCTGGGGGGAGGACAGGGCCCCCAGACTCCCTGCCCGGGGACTCTTGGCTGGGGTGCACTCCGCCTGGTTCAAAGGCCCTTAAGGAGAGAAACAAGAGTTTTAGTTTCAATCCAAAGAGTTCCACTTGTTCAAGAAGCATTGGAGATAGTCATCTTTGTTATGGTTTGGCTATACAGACCAGTATAAACAATTAAGGATGGTAACCACTGCAATGGATATGTAATTGTAGATATTCCCCATCTTTCATCAGGCCATTTTAGTAATGTCCAATCCTATTATCTCATTGATTGGAATGTCAAAAATGTAATGGACCCCCTCTCTGCTGATAAATAGCAGCAGTAGCGGTACTCACTTGGACTCGACACGGTGGTGGCAGGTTTAGGACACGCCCAGCCCACCAGATTGGCCTCTCCGACAGAGGACTTTGCTCCATCCGTGCCCCGGTCCAGACGCCAGATCCGTACGGTGTTGTCGTCAGAGCAGGAAGCAATCTGCCAAGACAGAGCATGAGATTACAGAGGGCCCCAATCTACACCTCTCCTAGCCTGGTTAAACCAGACTGAACACTGCACTCATCATTGTTTCAATGGTGAACACAGCTTTCAGTCTGGTCTACCCAGGCTACAACCCTGCACCTCCTCCTCCTGACCACTTCAACTATCACAATTCAGTTTTATGGCAAAGGCATAACATTTAGAATGTGAACATTTGCTCCAGGGACACAGAATGGATCTAAAAGCAGCACAAAAAGGTGTATTTCTTGGAAGCTGCAGGATGACCGTTCTTGAATGAGTAACATTCTAAACACACACCATCTGAAATCATGCTGGCTATGTGAACATAGACAAAATCTTAGATCTCACCTTTGTGAAATCTGTGGGGCACCATGCTATGGAGGTCACTTCCTGGTTATGGCCCTGAAGCATCATAGGAGCCTGCTTTGGGTCGGAGATCTGAAATAGGAAAATAGGTGGGTAAGACACGTTATATACGCACGGATATAATAGTTATTAAATAGTCAAAGCATGTTTATTTGTCAGCCATCGTCTGTCAGTCTGCTTTTCAAAGATTTTCACTGGATTGGGTAAATGTAAATGTCGGCTCACCTTCCAGATGTATGTATGATGGTCACTTGAGCCACTAGCCAGGAACTGGTCGTCTGGGCTAACAGTGGACTTCACGTAAAACGAGGAGTTGAGGTGACCACCAAAGACTGCCACTGCAAGAGAAAGACATGTTAGAACATCAGAAATAAAAGTGCACAGAACCAGACATTGAAACCACCAGAACAACATTTCAGTTGTTCAGAGTACACAGGGTGAGTACACAAAACGTGATCCTGAGGAGCAGGGCTCTACGCTGAACTTTGTTTTCAAGGAGCACATGTGTGCCTAAGTTGAAAAAAGTAGGTGCACACAAAGAAATGTAGGAGCACAATGAAAAAAGCTAGAATCCTTAAATTTTTCTAGGTGCACTGGTGCTCCTAAATAAAAATTCCAGGTCGCAAAGCTACATTTCGGCACATATGCATGTCAAATGGTCACACTGTAGAGCCCTGCTGAGGAGGCACTCCAGTCTCCACACATATTACTTCCTGTTCGGTCAAGGGACTGGTCACATGGTAAGTTAGAGCCCCCTGGGCTACATTCTTGACTAATGCCGGAAGAAAGACCCCACACCCAGCAGTGCAGCACCCAGTCTCAGCTAGTGGGTAAAAATACCAGGGCGGTGTTCATTAGGCAACAAACAGAAGACAGCAGAGTAAAACAGGGAGGGGCTACCTTGACTTGTCCAATAAGAACCGCTAATTTTTGCTTTCCACTGCAACCTTTTAAAAACGTTTCCTTTGCATGTCCTAATGAACACAACCCAGGCTTAGATGACTAATTAATAACACAAACACTGAGGTATTTCTCATCTCTGTCAGACAGTCTCCCGTACACACTGTACCCATCCTGTCTGTTCAACGACCTCTGGGCTATTGTAAAGACGATTTAATATCATACATGTCAGGCACGTTGCATTTTTATTCATTTTACCAGGTAAGTTGACTGAGAACACATTCTCATTTACAGCAACGACCTGGGGAATAGTTACAGAGGAGAGGAGACGGTAGCCAAATTTCAGTGGTCAAATTCATTATGATGGTGTTGGCACATGCAGTTCAACTAGCTATTCAAGCAAATACATCTTCCCATTTGACAGCTTCCCATATAGAAAATAGCCTCAACCGTACAGAAGTAGTGTGCAGCCCCACCTGGTGGTAAACAGTGGTAGTGGCATATTAAACATTTAATGGCATGCAGGAGCTTAATGTGAATAGATGGGAGACTATACAGGTGCATTAAAGTAACTTGCCATAAAAAAAAGTAATGGGCTGAATGCAGTCATGCTTTTGATGGATGTGGCCATAGAAATAGAATGACATGCAGAAGGCGCTTTTTAGGGAGCATTTGTTTACCTGGAGTGGTTTTCAGTCCGCTGACGTTGAACATGTAGATGTTGTCGTCGATGCAGTTGGAGAACAGGTTGGAGCCCGTGGAGTCTAACACCAGCCCCGAGTAACCTACACAGACAACACAGATCAGGTCCTACACTTGTCCTACTCTAGGAAAAAACAACACAACCTGTTTGAATCCTTGTAAAATGGCTTCCTTCATTCCTTTGCAGTATTCACTGATCTTACTACAGTTGGCTAGATGAAAGTATGAGTTCCAGACAGTAGCTTCACCAATCCAGTAATGTCTTATAAGTGATTAGCCTATTCCAAGGAAGGATACAATTTATGAATTTGCGTCATGTTTGAGAAACCTCACCTAGCTTCCGTGTGCTGGAGCCTGGGTACGGGTATGCCTGGAGGGGTATGGGGTCGTGGTGGTATGCAGTGTAGTTTTTCCGAAGGTCCCACATCTTGATTATCCTGGTTGGATGGAAAAACATCACATTCGAAAGTTAGAATCGTTCTTTGTGGTGCTGGCTTGTCACACCATCGTGCCGACTCAAACCATACTGGCTCAGATGTTTGCTTTTCACACTGTCCTTTTCAGCCTGGTTCAGCAACTGTGTCAGATACGTAACCAGGCCAGCGCAGTACGTAACCAGAGCAGCACTGCTCAGTAGCATTAAAAAAAGTATTACCCATCAACAGCTCCTGACGAGATGAGGGTGTGTTCATCACGGAATAGCACCACGGTGACACTCTGCTGAGAGTCCTACAAGAGATGGAGAAGAACAGATTAGCTCTTAATATCCCAGTCCCTAACTGTAATCAGTATAAACTGAACAATAAAAAACGGACACTGGATCGGTTTTGCTACTCACCACAGAGGGGGCCATGCCGCGTGTGCCCGGGCGTCTCTTCTTCGGGTTAGAGGGTGTGTTTCTGTCCGTCTTATTGTGAGCCCCACTGATCTGCTTCACCTGCCTGTAGAAGCCATCTGAAGGGAAAAACAACAAACACCATTACTCAATCTCTCGTAGATAGACGCACGTAACATAACTGGTATCGTAGCGTCTGTCAACAGTGAGGGATGCGACGACTAACAAGGAACTTTGTTCCGGTGCACAGATTCTTGTGACTGATCATTTGGACAAATTGCAATTTCGCAGGTGATCGCATCTTTCACATTTCGGAAGGGGATATTTGGCCCATAGACTTGCCCGTAACATGCAAAGAGAGTGGGGTGGAGCAACTGTCCTTCTCCCGCTCCTCATTCTAGTATATCTTCTAACACGTCTCCCCCCAGAACTTCATCGAGCATCAGGCACAATTACCCAAGGTTTTAGTTCTGGGTTTACTCACTGAAAAACTCAAACATTTGAAAGATTTAAGATCCAAAATATGCACCAACTAACCTATCGATTTCAAACATACTGTTTACACTAAAGAAAAAGGGTAATCACTTTCATATCTGTCCTTACCTTTTTTGCTGCACCTGGTGTCCCAGACCATAATATTCCCATCTCGGCCCCCAGTACAGAACACAGCTGTTGGAGAAGAGAGATGTTAGCATGGTTACTAAGAGGTTTTCGGACACAATCAACAAAGTGTGCATTGCCCTAAAAAGCATGGGCTCCCCTGGGGTAAAACAGAAACTCTGCAGCAGCCGTTTAAGAAGAGTTTTGTTCTCAGTAGCTGAGCTGTCAAGATGGTATATGATGATGCCTACGACTATCATATAAAAACATTTTTAAGCATGGCTATACACCATACACTCGATAAACCAAGACCATACACTCCATGGAGCAAGCCGAGTCTCTGCATTCAGGAAACATACTTTTAAAAAAAATATGTTTTTAATGTATCATGCGCTGCCACTCTAGGTCAATAAAGTTCTATTGAATTGATATGAAAATGACCTTTATCCTGCTGTGTGAATGCAACAGACTTGAGGCTGCACTGGTGCCCCTTGAAGCTGCCAAGGAGTTCCTCCGATGTCACGTCCCACAGCTTGGCCATCTGATCACCTGACGCAGTCACCTGATATACACAACATTTTATCATGCGTCTAACACATCTATAGAAAATAGTAGTCTGACCACTGTGTGTGATGTGAAACAAATCAGGGAAAACTTCTACTACTCACCAAGCTAGCCTCCCCTGGCACCCAAGCAAGGTCAAATACAGCATTCTCATGTGCCATCCATTCTATGGAATAGGAAAATTAAGTTTGTACCCCAATTGGCATCTGATGACATTTAATGGGTTAGGGTCCTAAAACAAGGCAAGCTAGGCTGGAGATTCAGAGAGCTGCAATGGCTAGTCACAACCAGTGTTGTGTCTCACAACCTTCCTAGGCAGTCTGCATAATAAGGGTGCATTATCATACATTTGTTGTCTCAGTCCAATAAACAAGATGCTTGAGTTACTCTGTTGGTGGTGTGGTTTTGCCACTCAGGTGATAAGTTACCTTTCAGAACTGGACTATGTCGGTTCTCTGTGTTGTAGAGCCTCAAGACACCCTCCTCGTTGGCCACGGCAAGTACACTCTGCAGCCCTCGGGCTAAAACGACAGGAAAATAAGCAGTTAACAGAAAAACAAAAAAAGGCCATCAGAACAGTGGTTCATGGTTAACGCCCTCATAGACACACAGTAAAGTACTTCCTGTATTACCTGTAGAGAAGGCGCATCCAAAAGGGGGCACGGCTACCCCCAGGTTCCCGTATGAGAGGTGTTCATCATGCCGTGTACACTGGTAGCCCTCCAGCAGAGAGGACAACGGGTACTTTGGGCTGAGGTCTGGTGGAGAAGAGGAAACAAAAAAATAAACGTATAACCACTGTGAAACATGCAGCAAAAACAGTGTGTAATGGCCACCACCAGGGTCCTCCTTAGCTAGTCGTTAACGCTAGCCACTTCCCCACAACAATATCTATTACATTTTAGTCATTTAGTAGACGCTCATATCCAGAGCGACTTACAGTTAGTGAGTGCATACATTATCATACTGGCCCCCCGTTTGAAACGAACCCACAACCCTGGCGCTGCAAGCGCCATGTTATACCAACTGAGCTACAGGGGACCATCTATCCATCCATCCATCAGCAACACAAAATGGCCAGCCTAACAGCCAACAATGTTATAGTGAACACAGCTAAGCTAGCTACCTAACTAACTTTGGCTAACTAGCTAGTTATAGCCAAATATCTTTCTCATTGTTCTATCAGTGCTGTAGCTGTCTAGGCTATTTTGTAAGTCACTCTGGATAAGAGCGTCTGCTAAATGACTTAAATGTTAGGCAAGATTGAAGGCAGACTACTGTCTGGACTCCTATACATTGACATTCTTACCATTGCGCCTCTGTTTACGGACTCCTCTGTCAACAATAGAGCGAAAAAGCATATCTATAACTTAGCCAAAGCCAGACTACTTTTTTTACTATTTCGATTCGTCAGAGCAATTCCCGTGCGGTGATCTTCTGCTTGTTGCTCCCTTTCCCGCGAACTGAATAAACTGAAAGAAGAGACGAATCCCCCGCTAAAGTTGCGTCACGCTCGCTGATTGGTTGGACAGTTTATACTTCCTGTATTACGTCACTTCCTACCTCTTTGTGCCGAATGGTACATGCTAGCTAAATCCAGTGGCTGAGCTAATACTTTAAAATATAACATACAGTTGTTTCACGTGAAGTATAAAAGATAAACAATGTCGCTTTCTACTGCGCGTTCATTCTTGTCAGAGGCCGGTTATGGGGAACAAGAATTGGATGCAAATTCAGCTCTCATGGAGTTGGACAAAGGTGTGTAGTGAGCCAGCCAGCTAGCAACTAGCTAGGTGGCTAGCCATTTGTTAACCTTATCAATGCGAAAAGAGCTTAGCAGCTTAACATTTGAAACAACTGTACTGTGTCATGTAACCCCGGATGTATATGCATTCAAGGCCACACAACTGCACATATGTTAGCTACAATTAAAATAACAAGAAAGCTAGCTTGTTAGTAGCGAACGCTAGCTTTTTAGCTGTTCGCCTCAGTGACGAGCAAACTTGAACTACATTCAGACATTTGTCAGTTAGGCATATGGCTACAGGGGATGAAACTCAAGTTGTCTTTCCATGTCTGTGTACACTGATAAATCTAAATGTTTGACTGAGTTTCTGTCATTTATTACAGGTTTGCGGTCTGGGAAGCTTGGGGAACAATGTGAAGCAGTGGTCCTCTTCCCCAAACTCTTCCAGAAGTACCCTTTCCCCATCCTCATCAACTCTGCTTTTCTGAAACTGGCTGACATCTTCAGGCTTGGGTACAGAGAATTGTGACATTTGAACTAACCATGACTCTGCAAAATCCTAAATGCATTTTACACTTGCCAATACTGATCAGTATTAAAATGCATAAGCCTCAGAATCATTCAAGGCAGCTAACCAGAGTGAGTTTTGACCGTATTGTCCTCCTACTGTAATAAATAAACATACCTCTCCCCTCTTTCAGGAACAACTTTCTGCGCCTCTGTGTTTTGAAGGTAACTCAACAGAGCGAGAAGCACCTGGAGAAGATCCTTAACGTGGACGAGTTTGTCAAGAGGGTTTTCTCTGTCATCCACAGCAATGACCCTGTGGCCAGAGCCATCACTCTCAGGTACCATAGCGTGCACTTCTCTTTCCATTAGGGTTTGATGATCTATTATGAGGGTGGTTAAATCCACATTCCACACAGTGGCTGTGTTGCAGATTTGCATGGTGGTCATCATTAGTCTCACATGTCAGACAATTGATTCCAAAATATTACATACCTACAACTATTTCAAGAGCAATGTGAAAAACTGGTAATTGAGGCTAGGTTGTCATTGCATAAACAAAACAAAAAGAGAAACCTCACTTATTCCAAAATTAAATGTGATACATACACCATAGAAGACAAAGCTTTTATTTTTCTTTGGAAAGACTCAATCATCTCCACTTACATGATTTCTAATTCTGTGTGTTTTGTCCTTTTAAAATTGTATTTATTTATTTATTTTTAGGATGCTTGGTAGTTTGGCCACTATCATCCCGGAAAGGAAGAATGCCCATCACAGCGTTCACCAAAGTCTGGACTCGCATGACAATGTCGAAGTAGAGGCGGCCATCTTTGCATCGGCCTGCTTCTCTGCACAGTCAAAGTAAGTGGCTCTCTGTTTGAGGTAAGTTTCAATGTGGTCTATGTTGTCTGGCCGATCTGTCATGATTTTAACTTAGCTTACTTCCTTTCAAACTGTTCACAAAAATTTTTGTTCTATGCCCCATCCAGGAAAGAGGAATAATGATGTATTCAGTGTCTGACTCATTGAACATGTTCTGTTCTCTGTCCCTTTCAATCTGCAGAGACTTTGCAGCTGGGATTTGCAACAAAATTAGTGAAATGATTCAAGGTAACATAATGTCTTTAGTATCATGTGAACATCTTGTGCAGAATCACATGACATTCTGTGAAATTAGGGTTTAGTTATATACAAGCACATTGGTGTTGTCGTAGAGGAGAAGAAAAGGCCATGCGATTCCTTTTTGGATAAAGCGTCCAGGGTCATGTTCATTAGTGTACACTGTAGCAAAACATTTTGCAACAAACAAATGCAAGCATTTTGTTATTAGACAAGTTCAGATAGTACCTCCGGTTTTCTGAGCTTTTTCTTCCATTTCGTGCCAACTGAACATTACCCAGTTGATCTCCCACTGGCCCGTGCTATCACTACGCTCTTGTTCCTCTCCAGGTCTGGACACCCCGGTGGACCTGAAACTGAAGCTGATCCCTATGCTGCAGCACATGCACCACAATGCCAGCCTGGCCTCCAGCAGCCGGGAGCTGCTGCAGCAGCTGGTCACCTCCTACCCCTCCACCCCCATGGTCATTGTCACCCTGCACACCTTCACCCAGCTTGCTGCCTCCTCACTCATCGACATCCCCAAACAGGTAGCTATAGCAACAGACACTAGGGGAAAACTAAGGGGACGTGGCTGACGTGCAAACTGATATTACATTTTCAAATTGGTTAAAATTAGGTAGGGTTAAGGTAAAGGTCAGTTTTAGATTTTGTCTAGTCGTGCTGTCATTGGGATGCTGGTCAGAAAAGTCCTCATTGTCTCTCCCCGGACACTAACGGACATTAGAATCCCATTGGTACACAACTCAGACAATTTTTGTCAGCTGGACCCTATTTGGCATGACAGCTGACACCACATCACAGACAGAGTGCATTTCATTTAAAACAATCATACAAACAGATCTCCCAGTACAGAATTTGAGTGACAAGTGACTTGTTTATAGCACCTGCAATTCCGAAGCCCAGATGACAGCAAAGCTTAGCAACAGTGGAGATTGCTAATGCAGATACATACTGTGGCATCCACCCAGGCTATAACATCTAAACTCCCCTCCTGAGCTCAAGAATCCGTAAGATCTGTAGAAGGCTTATAATGTTTAACGGCTAGTCTCTTTTCCCCCCTCTGTCTGCAGTTACAGCTGCTTCTCCAATACCTGAAGGATGACCCCAGGAAAGCAGTCAAGAGACTGGCCATCCAAGACTTGAAGCTCCTTGCTAAAAAAGCCCCCCATCTCTGGAACAGAGAGAACACTCAGGTGGGGTATTATGTCCCTGCAAATTCCCTCCATAATCAAACTGCAAGTGGTGAATTGTCATGCATTGGGTATTTTGAAGATAATCCATTTTTTCATGATACTGTGTTAATTTATTTCCCTTGAAGTGCATTAAATAAACTGTTATTCCTGTGTGTAGACCCTGTGTGAATGTGCCCTGAGTAGCCCTTACAACAGCCTGAAGCTGGGCATGCTGTCTGTTCTCTCAACCCTCTCTGGAACCATCGCCATCAAACAGTACTTCAACCCTGGAACAGGTATAGTATAATGCAAGATTGCCTGACTGCACAGGCAATCAGAAGAAACACAGTGACTTTTTAATTAAAACAATGAATTAATTAATTGAAGCTCTTGGCCTAGGAGTGCTAATCTAGGATCAGGTCCAATTTGTCCATAGAATCTTATTCATATGATCTAAAAGGCAAAACTGATCCTATATCAGCACTCTCACTCTGAGACTCTTTGTGATTACAGGCCATGTTGTTTTGGGGCCTTGTGATGTTGGGAACATTCAGTCAAGTACCCAAGTTGGGTTCAAAACTTTCCAAAACATTCCTCCTTTCTCCCCCTCAGGTGGTGCTTCCGCCCCTCCCCGGCTCACTGACCTGGTTAAGCTGGTGCAGGAATGCTGTTACCACAGCAACCTGGCCGTCGCTGCCCATGGAGTCACTGTGCTCGCCAACATTGCAATTTCATGTCCAGAGAAAGGTGGGCACTGGGTATAGGGTACCTCTTAGTGGTATTTGATGTCCTCTCACTCATCTTTCATTAGCTACCTGATCATCACAGGACTTCACAGGTATTTGAAAATGGGGCTTACCTAAGAAAAACTTCCAGTTGTGGACTAATTCATGGTAAAAAAAAGGGTTTGGTGCACTCAAAGGCTTTCACAGATTACCAGTACAGTATTAGGGTTTTTCAGCAATAAAATGACAGATCATCCATTTCATTAACTGCAGCGTTTTGTTCTTTGCAAAACACATTTTTATGCTTCCACTGACTTATTGTCCTGCTTTCCCTCCCCAGACATGATGCAGCTGGAGCAGGACACAGTGATGGGGGTGGAGTCTCTGCTGGTGCTCTGCAGTCAGGATGACAGCCCCAGAGCTCAGGCCACACTCAAGGTGGGTAGCACCCTGGACCCATGAGTCTATACATTACTCGTACAGTGAGGGGAAAAGATGCGTGGCCTACTCAGTAGTTGTATAAACTGCCATGTAATCTCTGTAGTTTATAAACTGTTAGTTTATAGATAGTTTTACAAATCTGTAATAAACAGTTAACACATTCCGTCTGTTTCCCTCTCTCACTCCCCAGACTGCTCTCACCTCATTGGTCCAGCTTCTGAAGAGTCGCCCCCACCTCAGCCAATCAGCGGTGGAGTTCCTGCTGTGCCAGCTGCACTTGGCCCGCGACCCCTCCCGTGTGCTGATGTGCCACGCCCTGGCGGCCATCGCCACTCAGTTGCCCGTGCTGGGAGAAGGCATGCTGGGGGATCTTGTGGACCTCTATCGGGTGGCCAGCCACTCGTCCACTGACAAGCAGCAGGAGCTCTTGGTGAGAGATACACAAAGCCCTAATACTAACTGTAGTTGCCCTAAGGGGACTAATAAAGTTGTATTGAATTGAATTACATTTGTTGTTTTTTACCACACAACTTAACCTTCTTAAGATAATTACCTGAAATGCATTTGTCAAATTATTTTGAAAAGGACGTTAATGGTCTTTTAATGACCATAGCTATTTTTGCACAAAAACACAGAGGAAGCTAAGCAGTGAGAACTGATTCTGGCTCTCATATGTCATAATGGTCTCTGATAAATGCTGTGTGTGAAGTCTTTTTATTTTTTTATTTTTTTTAAAGCTCTTTCCAAAGCTGTTCTCCAATCATGAATCCCACCTTCTGGATACTGACATCTGGCATGTGTCATCACCTCCCCCCTCTTCTCCCTGCAGGTTTCCCTGGCGACGGTGGTGTTTGTGGCTAGCCAGTCGTCCCTGTCGGCAGAGGTGAAGACTGTGATCAAGCAGCAGCTGGAGAACGTGGCCAACGGCTGGACGGTGTACTGCATCGCCCGGCAGGCCTCACGCATGGTGAGTCAAGACTTATTCAATCTGGCTAAATCTGGTACATTTGCATAAATGTTGATAAATGTGCATTGTCCCTGTCAAATTAACCTAATAAAGTAATGGAGACACTTGTAGTCTACCTCTCTCTGAAGTAAGTCCATGTAAACCCAAGTAAAGAGGAAAGGTAGGACAAGCATAAAGCACATATCTAGGCTTCCTGTTGAAGGATTATCCCCATAGACTAGACATACTGTGATATGTATAGATCCGTGCTGCACTCATTTAGGGCTCCAGAGTGGCGCAGCCGTCTAAGGCACTGCATCTCAGTGCTAGAGGCGTCACTACAGACCCAGGTTAGATTCCAGGCTGTATCACAATCCAGCCGTGAGTCCCATAGGGCGGCGCTCAGTTGGCCCAGCGTTGGCCGGGGTAGGCCGTCATTGTAAATAAGAATTTGTTCTGAACTGACTTGCCTAGTTAAATAAAAGAAACTTTTTTTGTTAGGTTGGAATCCTAAATGTGCACGCTTAACTTGACACTCGCCTAAATCATGCATTGATGTCAATGGCAGACTTCTGTGAAAACTCGAGTTACACGCGCGGATCTCAAGTTAGGATTCAAGCCTTAGTCATTAGTCACTGATACTGATGCCTTGGCTCAACACAGTATTTTGAAACATTTAGAAAAAGCTTAGATATCAGTCTAGAAGCATTTCCACCCAACTGTCCTGACCTGTGTGTTCTGTTTGCCAGCCTGCCTCCATAACATCTCGTCTGGACCTCTGTCCTCGTAGGGTTGCCATGAGTTCTCCAGCGAGCTGTACCAGAGCTTGCGGACACGCGTGGCCTCGGAGCACTTCTACTTCTGGCTCAACAGTCTGAAGGAGTTCTCCCAGGCCGAGCAGTGTCTGAACGGCCTGGAGGACGGAGACTACAGCGCCGCCATGACGGCCATCGCAGAGGCCCTGCGCTCCTACCAGAAGGGCATCGCCTCCCTCACGGTCAGTGACTGTCCGCCTGCTTATAGGAAGGCAACGGATCCATTTATAAATCAACTGTAAACCATACATCAACTGACTTATATAAACTGACATGCCCCTATTGTAGGGTTCAATACAGCAGGGTTGCAGTCGATTTAGTTTTTAATTCAGTCCATTCAGGAATTGAGTTGAAAATGTGCCTTTTTTAAGAGGATTTTTGTATTCATTAATTGGATTTCAATTAACTTTGTGATTTGACTGAATTGAAATGAATACTGAATTTACCCCAACCCTGCTGTACCCCAACCCGATTTTTTTTTTTTTTTGTGCTGTAAATCTTTAGTGTCAGAATCCTTTAGCCAGGTAGTACTGGAGTTCAACTATCATTTTCCAGTCTGCTTAACTATCCAGTTAATGGGGTAGTATTGAAAGTCAACTCTCTTCCTCCAGGCTGCCAGCACGCCCCTAAGCCCACTGTCGTACCAGTGTGACTTTGTGAAGCTGCGCATCGACACGCTCCAGGCCCTGTCCCAGCTCATCTGCACCTGCAACAGCCTGAAGACCAGCCCGCCCCCCGCCATCGCCACCACCATCGCCCTCACCTCGGGCAACGAGCTGCAGCGCTGCGGACGCATCGCCATGCAGGTACGGGGGAAGGGGACACCGAGTTCAAATTCTATTTCTGAGTGTCAATTCAAATTCCGATTAAATTTCTGGTGCCACTAACATTACTCCATACAGTAAGACAGGGGAGTCAGTATGTACAGCAGAAGGGGGTTATGAATGGATGGCTGGTTGAACACAACAAACATATTGGATATCTATTCCATCAATGGATATATAGAAACCTCTTTCTCTTTCTCCAACTCAGATGAGGGTGTCCATGGATGAGTTCCGGAGTCTTGCTGCCCGCTACGCTGACTTGTACCAATCCTCATTTGACGCTGACTCTGCCACACTGCGTAACGTGGAACTGTATCCTTAAACATAAGAGAACGGACACACCTTGCCCATCAAATCATTAGTAGAATCTTAGTTAAAACCATTTCCATTGAAAATCCTCTCACATGTCTTTAACTGTTGGCCACAGACAACAACAGAGCTGCTTGCTGGTCTCCCATGTCATCGAGGCTCTGATACTGGACCCACATTCAGCCAGGTAAGGCTTGTTAATATGACTAATAAACTTATGCACTCATTGCTGTGTAATATTTAGGGGATTCTTTTCCTTACCACATCAGAAGCCTAACCTAATATTCCAGGAAATGTTGTCTTGAAGCGTTTACTATAATCTGGTCATTTCAGTTGATTCGATCTGAATTCTACCAAAACTAATATTTTAGTGAAAATTCTATTGAAGCAAATGGGATATCCCTCTGTTCTGCCCTCCAGTTTCCAGGACTATGGTACCCTGGGCTCGGTGCAGACGGAGAGTGAGTACGAGAGGCGGATGATGTCCGTGTTCAACCACGTCTTGGAGGAAGTGGAGGGCCTAAGCAGGAAGCACCCTCCTGTCTCTTACCTGGTGAGGTCATTACACTGCCCAGGGTTGTGTTCATTAGGCACCAAACGGTAGAAAATTGACAAACTGCGAGAACCACTACCTGGACTTGTCCAATAAGAAACACTTGTTTTCTTTTTTCAGTACAAAGCGTTTTCAGTTGCTTGCCTTAATGGACCTGTAATGACACTTCGTCCAGCTGGTCAGTGTGTAGTCAGTGGATAGGACTACAAAATGCAAATCTATTTGTTTTTGTTGTTTATGTAGCACACAGGTTGTCTATGTGACGCGGTCATAGCTCTGCTCAAGGTCCCACTGTCCTTCCAGAGGTACTTCTTCCAGAAACTCCAGTCAACCAGTATTAAGGTAACTAACTATAATGCAATACAAATGCTATTCGGAATACACTACTTTAGCTCAGTTCTTGCTTTAGGAACCATTTGATGCATTGGTATTTGGTACGCTGTAAAATATATTTATTAGATTTGCAATAACATTAAGAAGTAGTATTTTGCATTGAAATGATTCATTGAAATTGATTCAGACTTATTTTAATTTTTTTAATGCATTTCCAGCTTGCTCTCTCCCCGTCTCCTCGGACCCCGACCGAGCCAATCCCAGTGCAGAACAACCAACAGCTGACTCTGAAGGTGGAGGGCGTGGTGCAGCATGGCTCCACCCCCGGACTGTTCCGCAAGATTCAGTCTGTCTGCCTCAACGTAAGCTCCACTCTCCAGAGCAAGACAGGTGGACCCGAATACAAGGTGACTCTAAAGCAATCCCACCCCCTGCCCTAGTAGTGATTATTGCAGTGGTAATTTACCTTACACACTACTTGGCTGGTGTTATAAACTGTTGAGGCTTTTGATGGATATCTCATACTCTATTCCTATACTGTTACAATGTCTCTAGCTAGTATGGTTTTAGACCTTTTTATCTTAATTTAGAAAGAAAATTACACCTCCCAGTGGTTCAGCTTCATTAATACAACTCAATACCAAAGTATGTATCCACCAGCATATTTCATTTCCCATCAGATTCCATTGGACAGCAACACCAATGAGATTGAGCAGCGGGTGGAGCCACACAATGACTACTTCAGCACCCAGTTCCTGCTCAACTTCTCCATCCTGGGCAGCCACACGGTCAACGTGGAGGCCTCAGTGGTGGACGAGAGCGGCATCGAGTGGAAGACTGGGCCCAAGACCACTGTGTCGGTCAAGTCCCTGGAGGACCCTTACGCCCAGCAGCTCCGCCACAACCAGCAGCAGCAGCAACAGGCACAGCAGGCTAGGCCCGAGACGGCCCCGGCCCCACAGAGGAGTAGTGTATACGCCCGCTTCCAGTGATACCCTAGTAAACCCCCTCTAACCCATTGCCTTGTCCCATAACTGTTTGTATGTTTCCTTTCTTCGTCAACGCTCGTCTCAAAAGACTGGACTGGAGCAATAGAGGCATGAGCAATAGCTTGGTGAGCTTTTACCTACCCATCATTGCTTTCACCTATCCATTTATTTTAGGTTACTGGTCACAAAGGAATATAGACAAAGCTATTGAACGGTATAAGTATTAGCCCCCTGTCAATTGTCCAATTATTAAAGACCACATTTCATTGAAACTCTGCAATGTCAGTCTTTGTGTGAGTGTGGCTCGATTGTTGTCATGATACATAGGGGGCACTAGGACAAATTCCCATTATATTATATCTCTGTGCCTTTATTAGCTTTCGATAAAGGCCTTGTATAGTGGAAACTGGAAATATTAATTGTCAGCAAATCTACTTACTCAATCTGCAGGTTAGTGCACAAGAATGCAGAATTTAGTCATTAAATTCTCCAGAGGGAGGGCCGCACCCCCATAGGGTTCCCCTGGCTGTTAGTGAATCTAGTTGTCCATTTCCACCTGCCATCCCCTTAATCGGTGCGGTTCTAAATAAGACCAGCAGGGGGCGACCAGTGACCATATAGTGAACAGTACACTGCAAAACCAAATCAATATATGTTAATAATGATATATGGAAGAATACTTTGAAGAAATAATGCAATTTTACCACATGTATGGACTACAGTCTTTGATCAATTTATTTTCTGCTACCCACTTAGTGCACTGTGGGTGCAGCGCTCTCTGCCCTGAGTTATTTGCTCTGTCCTTAACAAAATGATATGTTGAGTTGTTAGGTACAGTTCATTTATACTATACGTTTCAGCTATGGGCTGAATAGGCCTATGCACCGGTGCTATTTATTTGACTCAAATGTAATGGCTTATTGGTCTGGGTACCAGTTTGTTTGCTAACATGCCACTCCTTGCCAAAGAGCACCTTGCTTTTGCTTGCTGGATATAAAATATGCTACAGCGTTCACAATGACCTGGCGGTAAAGTTTGAATGGCGAGAGCTTCTCTGGTGTGATGTGATGAAATTGGTTGGTGGTAAAAATGCAATAAACGGGAATCCTCTGTTTTCTTCGCGCCAAATGTTTTCGTTTACGATTAAATGTATTACGTCAGAATGCCCAATGCATAGAATACGGAATTATAATAATGTAATTTAATAGGATCTCTATGACCCAATGTTAGAATATTTCCAATCAAATGTATGAATCAGGCAAATTTGCATAAACATGTTTGATTGGATGATAGCTGTGAGGGTTATCGAATCAGGATAAAATCCTGTGATCTCATGAACATTCAATCATTAAAGATTACAGAAAGGCCAGCCTCTTTGGCAAATGACAGGAGTGGCAAGGAGTGGAACGTAATAGCTGAACAGAGACGGCAACCAGGCGATTGGTTCATCATCTCTGGCTCAAAAGCATTTGGTGGTTGGTGCAGTCGGTGGTTTGTCAGTCAGAGCTTGCGCAGATCCACGTTTTCTCAGCGTCGTCATAAATGAGATTCTCCTCTGGTGGCCGCTGCATAAATAGCTAGCGATAATCGAACGGGTCAGTCGAACTAGCGGAGCAGACAGCAGAATTAGAACATTAAATATACTCCGATGTACAAACTGGAACGCTGCCGCCTTTGCACTAAAACAATAAAGGCGTGTTAAATGGCTCTTCCATCAAGGAATTGTTGCAATTGGATTAAAGGAGACGCAAGAGAAGTAGATAGAAATTATGTCTAGCTATCCTGCTTGCTAGCTAAAGTACTAGCTAACTGATGTTGCATCGATGGAATTATTCGAGTGCCATTGATTGAGAAACACCCAGCGACGCTAAATGAGCAGCTAATTAGGTACATGGATAGCGGCTAGCTAGCCGTGACGGGAGTGTGAACGTTTACTAACATTGTGTGAATGGCACATATACAATATGATACATAACTCAATGTTTAAGGATCTAACATGTTAAGTTAATACATGTGACTTGGTATTCGTCCTTTTAAGCCAGCTATCTCTGTTGTATCGTCCGGCAGTAACATTTGGACGGGGGAACAGTAGCTACTAAGATTGGGTGAGTAACAGTAGGATGATCGAGTGCTAAGAACATTGATGTTTAGTTAACTAGCCATTTGCTGATACCTCTGACAGTGATTTAGATTTTCTCGCCGTTGTAGCTAAAAAAAAGCCAGGTTAAGCTAACCACGCAAAGACTAGGTAGCCAGCTAATAAAACATTGGCGCGGAATAAAATACAATCGGACTTTGTACCAACACCTTACAAAACCAATGGTATTGGTAGCTAGCCACATTGACTGTGTCGTTATTGAAGATGGAAATTGTTATGTTGTGAGTGGCATTGGTGGCTTATTAGTTAGCCAGCTAAAAACCGCGTCTATCCAGCACTGCAAACCCCGTTATACCGCTATAAAGCTAAAGTTAGCTTAGCTACTAACGTTAAGTAACGGCCGGCAGCTAGCTTGTATGGGTATGTTTGACGCCTGCTTCAGTCAGAGCATCAGTTGATTGGCCTAACATTAGCTAGTAGTTAGTTGACTCTTGCTCGGGTTCAAGATTCCAACACCGGTAATGGCTTTATATTTACAAAATTCCCTGAATGGCTAGCCAGCTAAGTAAGTTGGGATGGGAGCTACTACTGGACGTAGTCAACTGTGTTGTGGGTCTGTTCATTCAATGACCTCGTTGTACTGGACTTGCAAGATGTGGAGACATTATTTAAAACCGGCGGAAATTGGCCTGAGTCCTGCTCAATGATATTAGCTAGCTAGCAGCATCTTGTGTAGCTATACAACGTATTGATACTACAAAATGGATAACGGAGCCTAACGTTAGTCTCTATAAAGGCTGCCTCCATTTTCAGGTAGTTAGTTAGCTAACGTTTGTTGTTAGGTTGTCATGCATCCTCCTATTTAGAACGGCCGAACAATATTTAGCTAGCCAACTAACGTTAGCTAGTTAGATATCGGCATGATTGTCTTAGCTAACGTTAGCGATGTTTTCTGAGCAATGTCATATTTGTCAAGTTTTTAGCAACTCACATTAGAAATGTACCACTCGGAAATGTTTGTTAGCTAACTGGTTTTCTCCCTATTTTCACAGGCAGTGTGCATCAGTATGGCACAACTTCTAGAAGGCGCCCGCAACCTGGGCTGGGTACTCCTGAACTCATTACTTCGTTTCATCTTTGTGTTCATCAATAACTGTGTAGCAATCCCTTCGTATTGCCTCTACTGCATTCTTCTTCAGCCTCTCAGAATAATGGACAGCCGCACTTTCTGGCTCATTGAAGGAATAATGTTCAAATGGATGTTGGCAATGGTGTCACAGTGGGGCTGGGTTGCAGGCTATACAGGTAAGATGCCACACAACAAGCCTGGGAATGGCTATGAATGCAGGGGTTACTGTGGACACAAACCCTAATTATCAATAGCCTACATGGTTCAGACTGGTGTGGTGGAATCATTGTAATCAATCAAAGTATTGATTTCAACAGCCCTTTCAATATCACCTGATCCCCTTTCAGGATAGCTTGTACCTCAACTGCAAGACCAATAGCTACTGTCTGTAGGAACTAGGAAGTTGATGCTGAACAGGTCATCACTCTTGTGTATGTGATGTATGATTACATGTAAATGTAAGACTTATGTCAGACTACTTTTGGTTTGTGAAGAACATACACAACCGCTTCAAGTGTCATCACATTCTCATATAGTAGGGAAGTCTGTCTATAGTACTGTGAGTGTAATCACTTGATACTTAGTCCTGTTTTACCCGTCAACACTCTTTCCAAGTTCATTCACAAAAACATTGTGCCAGGGGTTCCCACTTTCAACTGGCTGATTAGGTGTCTGGGAGCCACATTGCCCTCTGAGCAGTGTTTGGTTGCACCGGGCCAAGAGCAAAATGCTTAGAAATTACAAAGTGCTGAACATGAGGATCGTCAAGGCCTGCTGATAAATAATGCATAGAACACCTCGACTTGAATTTGCAACGTACAGTACATTCGGAAAGTATTCAGACCCTTTGACTTTTTCCGCATTTTGTTACGTTACAGCCTTATTCCAAAATGGATTCAAATGTCCCCCCCCCCCCCCCCCCCCCCCCCCCTCAATCTACACACAATACCCCATAATGACAAAGAAAAAACAGGATTTTAGAAATTATATCAAATTTATAATAAAAATAAATGTCATTATCACCCTTTAAATAAGTATTCAGACCTTTTACTCAGTACTTTGTTGAAGCACCTTTGGCAGCGATTACAGTCTCAAGTCTTTTTGGGTATGACTACAAGCTTGGCGCACCTGTATTTGGGGAGATTCACCCATTCTTCTCTGCAGATCCTTTCAAGCTCTGTCAGGTTGGATGGGGAGCGTCACTGCACAGCTTTTTTCAGGTCTCCAGAGATGTTTGATCAGGTTCAAGTCCAGGCTTTGGCTGGGCCACTCAAGGACATTAAGAGACTTGTCCCGAAGCCACTCCTGCGTTGTCTTGGCTGTGTGCTTAGAGTCGTTGACCTGTTGTAAGGTGAACCTTCGCCCCAGTCTGAGGTCCTGAGCACTCTGGAGCAGGTGTTCAAGGATCTCTCTGTACTTTGCTCCGTTCATCTTTCCCTCGATCCTGACTAGTGTCCCTGCCACTGAAAAACATCCCCACAGCATGATGCTGCCACCACCATGCGTCACCGTAGGGATGGTGCCAGGTTTCCTCCAGACGTGACGCTTGGCATTCAGGCCAAAGAGTTCAATCTTGGTTTCATCACACCACATAATCTTGTTTCTCATGGTCTGAGAGTCCTTTAGGTGCCTTTTGGCAAACTCCAAGTGGGCCGTCATGTGCCTTTTACTGAGGAGTGCCTTCCGTCTGGCCACTCTACCATAAAGGCCTGATTGGTGGAGCGCTGCGGAGATGGTTGTCCTTCTGGAAGGTTCTCCCATCTCCACAGAGGAACTCTGGAGCTCTGTCAGAGTGACCATCGGGTTCTTGGTCACCTCCCTGACCAAGGCCCTTCTCCCCCGATAGCTCTTTGAAGAGTCTTGGTGGTTCTAAACTTCTTCCATTTAAGAATGATGGAGGCCACTGTGTTCTTGGGGATCTTAAATGCTGCAGACTTTTTTTGGTACCCTTCCCCAGATCTGTGCCTCGACCCAATCCTGTCTCGGAGCTCTACGGACAATTCCTTCGACATCATGGCTTGGTTTTTGCTCTGACATGCGCTGTCAACTGGGACCTTTATATAGACCGGTATGTGCCTTTCTAAATCATGTCCAATTAATTTAATTTACCACAGGTGGACTCCAATCAAGTTGTAGAAACATCTCAAGGATGATCAATGGAAACAGGATGCCCCTGAGCTCAATTTTGAGTCTCAGAGCAAAGGGTCTGAATACTTATGTAAATAAGGTATTTGTGTGTTTATTTTTAATGGATTTGCAAAGATTTCAAGACCTGTTTTC